TTGATTGGATTATTTGATCTTTGGTGTTTTTTGAGTTCTTTATATATCCTAGAGATCAATGCTTTATCTGAGGTGCATGCTGGTGGGACTGCAAATTGGTGCAACCACTATGGAAAGCAGTGTGCAGATTACTCAGAAAACTCGAAATGGAACCACCAGTTGACCCAGCTATCACACTCCTCAGTTTGTACCCAAAGGACTTAAAATCAGCATACTGCAGTGACACATCCACATCAATGTTGATAGCTGTTCAATTCACAATAGCTAAACTATGGAACCAACCTAGATGTCCTTCAATAGATGAATGGATAAAGAAAAGTGGTATATATAGTCAACGAACTCAGCTTTAAAGAAGAATGAAATTATGGCATTTTTCAGTAAATGGATGGAGTTGGAGAGTATCATGCTAAGTGAAATAAGCTAATCCCCCCAAACCAAAAGCTAAATGTTTTCTCTAATATGTGGATGTTAATTCACAATAAGGGGAGGGGCACTAGGGAAGAATCCAGTTACCTTAGATTAGGCCGAGGAGAATGAAGGAAGAGGAGGGGATATGTGGATAGGAAGGGCAGTAGAATGAAACAGACATTATATATATATATATATATATATATATATATATATATATATATATATGACTGCATGGGATCAATGTGATTCTACAACATGGACAATCAGAAAAATGAGAAATTATACTCCATCTGTGTATGATATATCAAAGTGCATAAATGCATTCTACTGCCATGTACAACTAATTAAAACAAATTAAAAAATTTAAAAATGAGATACTAAAAATACTAAGTTCAACATTTAAGAATATCACACAAACTAAAACTTAAGAAAGTTCTTTAAAAACATAAATGTCAATAGTTATAACTCAATGTTGTCTGTATTTTGTTAATAGTAAGTTGAGAGAGTTTTTGACTTGACAGTTTTATTTTTAGTATTATTATTAAGTTTGGGGGGTACCAGGAATTGAACCCAGGGACACTTGACCACTGAGCCATATCCTCAACCCTATTTTGTATTTTATTTAGAGACAGAGTCTCATTGAGTTTCTTAGTGCCTCACAATTGCCGAGGTTGGCTTTGAACTCAAAATCCTCCTGCCTCAGTTTCCTGAGCCACTGGGATTACAGGCGTGCACCACTGTGCCCGGCTAGCTTTTATTATTTGAAAAGAGTAAAAATGACATAAAAATAAGGAAGAATTCAGCATACAGGTGAAACACTCAGTGTCAACTGAAATAAAAACATTTATATTATGCTAGTGTTGAGAATTTAATATAGTTAGGTATGACTTTTATGATTAAAGTACATCTAGAATTTAACCATAGGGTTGATTTAAGAGAACACAGATGAAACCGCACATGGGATGGGTGGATGTAACCCCTGCTCAACGGGAATCATCCTCAGAGTTTTGTAAAAGCAGCTACTAACATCCAGAGAAACACCGAGGCTGAGGAGACTGTGTCTTCAGGACAGCCGGAGAGAGGTGCAAAGGGTAGAGAGCAATGGTGTAATGTTCTAATTTCTATGTCCTGACTAGTTCCATGTCACAGGGAAGAAGCTGATTTAGAATCCACAGAACCAGGGTGTCAAAGAGGCGGCACCCAGAGCTTGAGTTTAGGTCCATTGGCTTCAGCAGCTACCGTGGCCTTCAGTAAGTGTCCGGCCTTGAAAGACCTGGGCTGCCCTTCCTGAGGGACGGCCTTCTCTGGATGTCACTCTACCAGGGGACTGCATCTTGCAGCCCTCTTACGCTTAGGTGGTGTCATATTTTACCAAAGGGCTATGAGCAGAACAATGTGTGCAGCCCCTAGGCCTGCAGTGATGCAGTGGAAATCCTGAATCATGGGTGGTCATTCAGGAGCACAGGTCAGCAGCTGGGGCTTGTGGTTGCCATCTGAGTGTGTGTGTGTGTGTGTGTGTGTGTGTGGTTTCTGGGCCAAGGCCTTAACTCATGAGATCGGACATGATCTCCCGGTAGATCATGTCAGAACTGAAGTGAATTACGGGACACCTAGCGGGGACACTCATTGCTTGCCATGTGAGGAAAACCCCCACACATCTGGTGTCCCAAGTGAAGTGTTCCATGTACATGAGCATGAAGAGTTCCCAACCTCCTTTTTTTTTCTTTTTTCCAATTTCGGATAGAACCCAAACACCCTGGCTCTGAGCCAGCCCTCCAAGAACAAAACCTGACTGTGCCTGACAGTGTTTCTCTCCTCCTGGCCCCACAAGGGTATGGAAATTAAAACATAAACAGACAACAACCAAACAAAAACCAAAATAGCAACCAAGCTAGCACTGTCATCAACGTTCATCAAGAGGGCAAAGAAAATGGAGCTTCCCTGTAGGCAGAAAAAGCATCAGAGCCTTAGGGTCCACATAGTCCTGTGAGACCACATGCAAATAATTTCCTTCATTTTTGACCCATTTTTTTTCCCCTAGGAAGATTTAACAATGCTGCCCTGTCATTGATGTTCAAAGTGTGGCCTGATGATCGACCCATCAGCAAGATATGTGAGATGATCCAAAATTTGAATTTCTGCTCATTCCATTCAGAGCCGTTGATGCAGGACCTCTATCCCAGCACACTCTGTGCCCACTGACATCTGAGAATAGCCCTGGAGATCCTCTGTTCTATAAGACAAGAAGGAATGCACATATTTTTTTAAAAAATATTAAGTAGTAAATACCTTCTGCTAATATCTTTGAAATTCCTGTGTTGTCACTGTGAAGGAGACATTATTATTAATATTCACCACAGAAGAAACTCGCAAGGACTCATTCTGTCTAGAACTAAAAGCAACAAAGGAACAGTCAGAAGTCTAATGCCTGCCATGTTTAATAAGTTTGATGGATACCACCAACCTTTCAGGTGGCACTTATTTTGTAAATAAAGCTGAATTCCTTTGTCTTAGAAAGTAGCTGCTTTTTGTTTTTTGGGTTTTTTTTTTTTTTTTTTTTTTTAGTTAAAATGCTATACGACATCCCCTCTATTTCAGCTTGCTTGTTCAGGCAATGTGAACGGACTGTTAAACTTCTCTTCCATTGTCATTTCACCATCCTGTACATCTCCAGGATTCTCCTGGACATGCACTTTGGAGTCTCCTGCTCTTTGGAGTCACAGTTCTTTTCTTGCTAACACTTCCACTTTTTTTCACATACTGGTTTATAGTCAAGCTGCTTCTTTTCACAAACATAGATCCTTTTGTATCTAGAGATCTAAAGATACTCCCCCTACACACACATACACACACAGAAAGATAAAGACTTAGTAAGAGTAGTCTAGTATCCCAGGTCTTAGCTGAACTAAATCTCCATGTTGAATGAGAACAACCCTTATTCTTGGCTTCTTCAAGCTCTGTGCTCCTCTAAAACCCAAAGCACCGTGTGACTCTGCACACAGCAGTGATCACCCAGGACCCCCTCCTTTTCCTACATGACTCCTGGTCCACCAGACTTCCTGGAGCTAGATCAGCTCCAAAAAAAGTGCTCCTTTACTCAGCACATCCTATATTGGGATCCTTAGCTTTGTTCTTTATTCTATAACACTGTTATTGATAACTGCTGTATGTCCTTGTATTTAAGTCCTGAAGGCTTGAGAGTCAGAATAGGTGAAAGTCCATACGTGTTAATTTCTGCATTGCATTTATATAAAATAGAGTGATAACAGGATCTTCTGCATGGATTTGTTAAAATAACTAAATGAAATTGTTCGTTGTAAAGAGATACCAATGTATAGCATACACCACTTGATAAGTAACGAATCCCAATATTAGCTTTTATTATAAATACCTATTTTGTTTTATATTCTGCAATCACCTGAGTATCTCCATCCACATACAGTAAGTATAGTTGAATCAAGTACATGCTAACCCCCAATTAGTCCTGTATTTGCTCTCCTGGTGGAATTGAGAAAGACTCTGGATGAAAGTGGCCCTCCTCATCTCAGGGCAGGCTGTTATACAGGAATGTTATAGCTAACACCCTGAGAAGCCACGTGTGGTATATGGTGCTCATACCTAATCAAGTAGCTTATATGAGCAAAATCAATCCACCCCTCAGCCGGCTGGTGAGGCACCCACACTTTGTGGTGGAATCTCCTCTTCCAGGGGGTAGAAATTCAGAGGAGGAAAATGATCTACACCTGAACTAACAAGAGGGCAGTGCTGATGGAAAGACCTGGGAAGCCACACGTAGAGATGGTGCGCAGCAAAACCCACAGCTCCACCTCCATGTCCTCTGGTTAATCCTAAACAACACTGGCCATCTTCCTGGATACACATTTTCAGTCTATGTAAGAGAGGAAGGCTCAGTGTTACCCTTTACTACCTATTACTGAACATGTTGGCCCCACATTTGTGAATGATGCTCACTGTTCCTACACTGTGTGGAGGCCTTTTTCCTCTCCTTTCTCTCATTGTGTTTGGATGTCCTGTCTTCACTCGGCCAACAGGTTCACTCCCTACCTAGAGTCAGTGACTGTCATCTGGAGTTTCTTAATGGCATGCAGCATGAGCAGCTAGACCGGCCTGAGTGTCCTTGCAATGGCAGGCACAATCACAGGAGAATGGATGTGTGTGCTGCTGAGTTTGGGGTCACCACAGTAGGCTGCAGCTTTTTTGGTTTTCTCTTCTAAATACTAAGACATATGCACTTAGCACATATATACAGTTAGGTTAAGGAGGTTGATGGAATGTGCTCAATTTTGGGGATCCTGACAATGAATGAATAGTTTTAAAGTTCATTTGATACTCAATTCAGTGAGAAATATGAAAGCATATATGATCCAACCTCAACTCATGGAAAACCAGTGATATGAGCACATCTAAAATTACATTGAGTGATCTAAAATTATTCCTCAAGAGGAAGAGAAAGGGCAGGCTCTGGTCCTGTTCAGGCACAGATATGAAACTATTAGTAAAATTTCTTCTTGTAGACATTAATTATGCACCAAGATTCCAGAGGACTATTGAGGCTGGTGATTCAAATATCAGAGCAGCTGGGAATGACTTTCTTTGTACAGAGCCCTCTTCAGGGCACCCCTGACTTCTGCGTTCCTCAGGCTGTAGATCAGGGGGTTCAGCATGGGGTTGAAAAAACTGTAAAATAGGAAAAGGATCTTCTGCTGCTCCTCAGGGTGGCGGGACTGGGGGGCCATGTACATGACGATGGCACTGCCAAAGAAGAGCCCCACCACACAGAGGTGGGAGGAGCAGGTGGAGAAGGCCTTTCTGCGGCCCTCCCCTGACTGGATCCTCAGGATGGCCAGCAGGATGCGCGTGTAGGACACCAGCACCCAGCACAGGGGCCCCACCAGGATGAACACAGAAGCAGCAAAGATGACGACTTGGTTGAGCCTGGTGTCGGCACAGGCCAGCTTGAGGACAGACAGGATCTCACAGAAGAAGTGGTTGACCTCATGAGGCCCACAGAAGGGCAGCCTCAGGATAAGGACCAGGTGGACCAGGGCCAGGAGGGAGCCACATGCCCAGGAAGTCACCACCAGAGTGATGCAGACTCTCCAGCTCATGATGGCAGAATATCGAAGGGGTTGGCAGATGGCTACATACCTATCATAGGACATCATCACCAGGAGGAGACATTCAGTGTGAGCAAAAGTCAAAAAGAGAAAGGTCTGGGTCATGCAGCCCCTGAAGGAGATGGGCAGGGCGGGGTCCAGGAGGTTTAGCAGCATCCGGGGCACTGTGTTGCAGGCATAGGCGATGTCCACTATGGCCAGGTGGGAGAGGAAGAAGTACATGGGGGTGTGCAGTCTGGGGTCCAGGCAGCTGAGAGCCAGGATGGCCCCATTCCCCAGCAGAGTGAAGGCGTAGAAGAGGGAGAAAATTCCAAAAAGAACTACATGAATCCTTTGGCCAAGACAAAATCCCAGGAGGATGAACTCTGTGACCATTGTCTGATTTTCCTCCATTTCTCTATTAAAGAGAATGTCAGATAGCTATGTGACATGATCATTTTAAAACATTAAAATGTCTTAAACATTGAAACGAATTATTTATTATTTCATAGATTTTAGGTGTGTGAAAATTTATTAGTAAATGCTATTAAGAACCATTCAGTTATAAGCAAATACATAACTAAATGAAGTATTACCTGTTTAAAAAAATTAATTGTCTGTCTATAAGTTAATATTTTAATCTGACATACAAGGTTTGGAAGAAAAATATATAACTAAGGATTAATTACCTGGAGGCTTTGACATTGATGCAATTAAGAACTAGCAAACCCATACGAATAACATCACCATGAAACAGACTGTCTAAGAGCTTCGCATATGCATATATGTAGGACAAATAGTGGAAAGTAGAGACAGCTATAAAATAAGGATAGTCCCAGAAAAGAAAATAATTATAACTACTTTGATAGAAATCATGATTGAGTTTCTTTAAGTATTTAAATTATCACTAGATTCTAAAGATTGCAGTATATGACATCACACAAAACAAATTATTTAAACAGTGGCTTTTTGTTATTAATTTTATTTTCAATTGACAAATCATAGTTGTATGGATTTTCGATGCACACTATGATGTTTTGATGCATGTGTACAATGTGGAATGCTTTGAGGTAGAGAGTAGGAAGAAGAAGAAAGTGATATGATACATGTATGCGTGTATAGATAATTTATGTCCAATGATATATATTTATTTCTCCATAAACATATACACTAATATATAAGTGTTCATATCTATAAAAGTGGATACAATTTTCTTGAAATATTGAAAGAAAGCAACATTTGGTAATTTGGCAACTGGTCAACTGGGTGATTCACAGAATTATTAACTCAGCATAAGAATTTTTCTTTTGTAACTCATAGAATTTGGGTCAAATTGCGTTTCATCAAGCAGTCAGTAGCATAAGCCTGGCCTCAGTGTGCACTGGTGTAAATGTGTTTCCATAAGCTCTGAAAGATCTTAGGAGAGTGGCCTGGCAGGTTCCTATGGCTGTCCCTGTGAAAACACTGAGGCACATTTCCCAGGAACTATTTGCACAAAATTTCCCTGTTAGATCCTCTCGGAGAAGACATAGGCTGGAATGAAGGTAAGGAGGAAATATGCCCACTTTGCTATTAATTCAACCCTTCATGTTTGTAACACACCCTATCCCTGAAATTTCAAAAACAGTAATTTGCTATTTAAACTGAAAAACAGTGGCTGACCTCAGCAACAAGAACTGTCGCTTTATAATTAGGTGATAGCAAGAAATTATTAAATTGATAATTCAATATATCTGATTCAATAAATTCTTGATAAGATACTCAAAAGATGAAATAATTGGTTGTACAATAATGGATGAATTTGGCTTTTTGACCTTAGATTATGGATAAAATTTGCTTTAGTAAATCATGTTGAAATTTAACATGATTTCTACAGCAAACATTGGTCAAGGGTAAATAAATTGATATTTAGCACTTTTCCATGATTAGCGTGAGGAATGACACTGGTTTTGGCTGGTCCCTGTTGTAACCATCATCAGACCAAGGGTGCTGTCAAGTGTGTTCCCAGAAGGACTTGCATATGAAAGACAGAGCTGTGTTCTGAGAAACAGACTTGTAAAACCCACCTATAACCGAGGAGATTGACCATCTACAGATGGAAGGCAAGACAGTATCAGGAAACATATGACTGGAGAGTTTGGGGGTCTGCAAAAGTCCACTCCAGCTGTCCTAGCCACCTGGTGGTTGAAAGTCTACATGGGTGTTTGGGTGATCAGCAATCAATAGCTCTACTAACTAGGATCTCTGAAAAGTTCTTCTTGCTCTGATTCATGCTCTCCAATCCACCATTAGGCAATAATTCATTTTTCTAGTTATATTTTTCTACCAACAAGTAATGTGTTACTTGGAAAATTTCTTCTCTCCTTTTTCATTATTGATTTTAAATCAGTGAAGCTTTAGATATTCTGCTTGAAGCATTGTCCCATCATACTTTTGGAGAGCATGACAGTTTCTGAATAGAGTTTCCAAAGCTGTATCTAAAAACTAGGAAGCAAATTCTGGGCAAAGTAACCTGTTTAAGCAAGACCTGGAGAAAGAAATAGGTCGCTTCTTCTAGAAACATGTGACATGCTTTTTTCTTTCTCTCTTTTTTTCCCTTATAAGCACCATTGATAAAAAAACCTTGATACAAAATGAATAAAAATAATATATTTAAAAATCTCCACACATGACTGAAGTTGATTTGATGTTAGGTTAATATTAACAATTTCTGTGGCTGACAAATTGTCCACATTTATAAATACATGAAGCTTAGGAAAATATTTGGCTGTGGAAGATACACTTCAATCCAGTTGATTATAAAGCAGTAATTTCCTTTCCCGGTTTTCCTTTATGTCTCTTAAAACAATATTAGACAGGGGTGGGGGGAATCCAGTACAATTCACAATTTTTTGATAGCCAAACTGAAAGACAGGTGAAAATGTCAGAATACATTAGTATCTTCCAGCACAGTTATGTTTTTTTTTTTAATCTTGGTTCCTTTTAATGTAGTGAAGTAAGTTTATTTCATATTCCTGGAAATTAGTATAAATTTGTTGAATGACAAATGAATAAATAAAAGTGAAAACTGAATAAACAATGAAGAATTGGTGCTACATGAGATCTGGTTTCTTTTAAAATGTAGTCTACTATAATTAGGGAAAGTTCAAGAAGAAATTCATTCTTGGTGATCTGTATTGAATTATGATTAATTTTCAAAGCAGAATAAGGATAACTGTAGGTTTCACAAAACTTTGAACATGAGGATTTAGGATACATTTCTTTCTTATTTATTTATTTTTCTTATTTTACTTGGTATCTATTAGTTAGCAATCAAATGAAAAACAAACATACTACATTTTGAAAGCCTGGAGAGAAAGAAGGAGGCATTTCCACTTTGAAATATGTTCCAGTTCTAAATGTGAATTTCAAGCATCCTGATGTATTAATTTATATACATATAACTTCAGAATTAAAAAAATGGCTGAGTGTTATTCAGTTAATAAGTGATCAGGCAACTCTGAAGTTCTTTAAATATCTGAGAAAGAAACCACTGCTTTATTTATAAACAAAGCATCACAACTTGATGGACCCTGTATTTTGAAAAGTAAATCTCAAAAGTCCAGTGAACTGGATGGTTTTTTTCTACAGCAGTAGACATGAGTGAAGCAGAATCCCTAAAATAGGCACCTATTGCTAATATATGGCTCAGTTGACCCCTAGGGCTGTTTACTTGTAAGCGACAAGGGAGAACTGAAAACCAAGTTCTAGCTTACATACTTATAAGCTGAGACTTTGTTAAGTTTTCTTACAGGGTATGGGCTAGGATAAGGGATTTTTTTTTTCTGGGGAAAGTACTATTTTGGACCAGGAAGAACTGAGGGTCCATTTAATGTAATTGTCAATCTATTAAAATGGACAATGATGGTCAGACCAAGTGCTTCCTGCATCATCAGCACTCAGGAGCACAAAGTATAACAAATGGGTGCTTCTGTGCCTATGAAGACTGTATTGTGAAGATGTGCTTCAGGAGGAGAAGAGATTAACATAAAGGTAGGCAGTAAACATGAAAGTCCTCTAAAAAAGAAAAGTATCATTGCAGTCTTACTGACTGTCTCCAACTTCGCTCACTTTGCTACATGGTCACCTGATAACCTCGTCCATTCTCTGTACTCTCTTCATTCCTAACACAAAGACTATCCTCCAGGCTACTGAAGATCTATCTTGTACACTGATTTCCTGAGCAAATTCTAGATATCTGATACTGTCCTTAATGCTGTGTAAGGTATGTACAAGACATAGCTATAGTGTCTGGTGGGCTTCATGTTCCATTGCAAATAGTGTTTTTTTCCCTAAATTTAGCATGCATTGTGTCTGTGCTGACAAGAATTAAATGTATAATTTATAAATGAACCCTATATAATAATTGTGCTGAAATGAAGCACTACTGTTTAGTATGTCTGACTATAATTTCCTTTGACTAAGAAAGTCATTGCATATATTTCATCTAAATCCACAGCAGAAATTTCTTACTTTTTAGTGTCATCATTCCCACATACCTCTCTATCTTGTAGATATTTCTCCACCAATGAAAAAAAAAACTTGTAAAAAAAAACCTTTACATACTTTATCCATGAAATGTGTACTTCTTAGTGCTATTAATGTAGAAAGTGAATGATGAGCATCTCTAGTGTTAATTGAGATAATTTAGGTCTGTTGTGATACTTAAAGAATAATAGTGATAGAGTAAAAGAGTGATAGTGATAGTCAACCAAAGGGAATGATAGTCAACCAAAGACTAGATGCTAAATCATGTCTAAGCAGAATTTAAGGTAAAACAAAATAAGGCAACTGGTTCACTCTCACATTTGGGCTCAAGGACCTCAGAAGGAGGATCAGGTGGAGGTTGGAACAGGGTCCTGTTTCTCAGAGCTTCTGTGGTTGCTGCTGAACCCTCCCCTGTTCCTGATTGAAATGCAGCAGAATCCTCAGAAAAGGAGGTTTTTTTCCTCTGATGGGATCAGCCTAGTTAGCAGCTCTTGAGGACTCACTGGGGGGCCAGGTCATGAGACTTTGAACATGCCTATGTCTGCTGGGAAGAAGAGACAAAGCAATTGTCTTTTTCTGTTTCTATTTTCCTCCCCAGCAGGACACACAATTAGGAAGCAGAGAAAGGCACAGAGCACACCTCTGAGGCAACAGCTCTCATTACAGGCCCCAGAATACTTGACATGGTTTGAATCTCATGAATCTCAGTCTCCATACTCCAAGGTGTAGAGATGCTGGGGAGAACAGGTTAGGGAGGCATGGAGACAGCAAGGAGTCCATGGAGGGGTGAGGAGTCCCAGTGGGGCTCATTAGGGCCTGCCTGAAGGTAGAGTCTGCTAGGGCACAAACCACCAATACAGGTCATCCACGGGAAGTATTATCTAATCTCTGTTCTGAGTTGGGGAAGTTCTGATTTCAGTGCCTCAGGGAAAGAGAGGAGAGTATCCTCTCCATGGTAGCTTCCAGAGACGCTTTCTGCTTTTTTCTTGATTGAGAAGATTTCCTGCTGGAGATGTCATATGCATTCATATTTCACATTTTTTATATTATTGGACATAAGATACAAGTATTATTTTCAAAGTCTGCACCAATCGTACCATTTAGAGAGTCATTAGTTTTTTATAGTTTGATCTCTGACTCACTGGTTGATGGGATATACCATAGGAAAATCTATCCTGGTTATTGAATTTTTGAGAACATGCCAGCCTGTGTTCCAACACTGCACATTTACTGTGAGAAAACTTTTAAGGACAATGAAATATGGCTCCTGATCATATGAAAGTCTTAGGGAATGGTAGACCATTTGTAAGTATTGGAATATTTCAGTATCTCTTCATGCTCCAGGGGACCTACTGAAAAGGTAGAAGTCAGGACACTAAAATAAAAGAAAAAAATGTAGTAGAAAACTAAAAAAAAATTATGCAAATAGTCATTTTAGGGCATAGTTTTAAAGTTATTATCATATGGCCATCAGTTATTAAAAGTTATTTTAGGGTATAAAAGTAAAAATATTGAAGATGACAAAAAATTAAATGTTAATGTTTATAATGCTAAATTTAAGCCTAGGAAAATGCCTCATTTTAAAATTGCGTGTTTTCTATCTGTGTTTCTGAAAGCACATCATTCTGATACAGCCTTTAACTGTGTAAGTAGTGGGTTTTGAAATCTTTCCAAGTATTTATGAGAAAATTAGTTTGATTTTAAAACTCTGACATACCCAATTATACTGATTTTATGCAGTGAGCACACACACACAGAAAAATGTATACAGAATCATCAGGGCATACTGATTCATGATGAAGGGGATGATTGAAGTCATTATCTCCAAAAAAATCTGTCATTGAAAAGTACCCATAGGGATCTTCCGTGACCTGCACGGCTAACTCAGAATCCTGCAAGGGGCAATGGGGGATTAGAAAGGACAAACAGAGAAAGTTGAGACCAGGTGGGACATAACATCTGGATGGCAATGCAACGACCCAGAGCTAGCTCAGCACTTTATTATATAGGTTTTATCATTAAAAGATTATTTGTGGGAAAGTTTCTGCAAAGCAGGCAGACTTGAAGTTCACAGTGCTGATGAGATATTATAGTTATCTTGCTATGCTCAGAATCCTCTATCTCTGGGAGCCAGTATCTGAATTTCAAAGCCAAAACTGATATCTTGGAGCTTTTGCACAGAGTGACCACAGGCCAGCATCGCCATAGCAACTGGCAATGTTAACCCATACTTTTGTACAGGGAGATCCCAGCGCAAGCGCACCACAATCATGAAGCATTCAGAGACCTTGATCCACATCACTGCTCCCTACAGTGACCTTCACTTTCTCTAACCAAACAGAGCACAGATTCTCACAGGCTGATCAGGGATACTGTGCTCAGACTTTCATCCTCTGTAGAGATTCATTTTGCAGAGGAAAAAAAAAGAAACATTTGCCTTAGAGGGCATTTTCAAGAGGTATTCACAATGAGTCAGTCAAATCTCTTGTTCCAGAAAACTGTTAACAAACACATGAAAAAAATTTCATGTGATCAGATAAGTTTGGAAAGCAGTGGTTGAAAGCTGGAACAGGATTATACTTGACGAAATGAAGTTTTAGTTTTCACTATACTAATTCAGGTTGAGGCCTAAAGGGAGGCATCCGGTATGCAGTCTTTCTTTTTTTAAAATTTATTTATTTGTTGTTTTTAGATATCCATGATGGTATGTATTTTGACATATTATAATTACATGGGATAAAACCCATTACAATTTGATCTTATTCTTGTGGTTGAACATGATGTGGAGTTACACTGGCCACATATTCATATAGGAGTATAGGAAAGTTGCGTCCAATTCATTCTACCGTCTTGACTGTTCCCATCTCCTCTCCCCGCCCTTCGTTCCTCTTTGACTAATCCAATGAACTTCTATACTTCCCCTCCCAATTCTCCCTTGTTATGTGTTAGTATCCACATATCAGAAAGAACTTTTGACCTTTGGTTTTTGGGACTGGTTTATTTCACTTAGCATGTCATTCCCTACTTCTATTTATTTACTGGCAAATACCATAATTTCATTCTTCATAGACTCATTTGACCACAGAAGAGTTGAATGTCCTCTGGAGGAGACAGTGTCTTGAGGAAAACACTTTGGGAGACAGGGAGTTGGACTATAGTTTGATGAGGATATGGTGATGGGCATTGTTCTGGAACCATGGTTTCCAAATCCTGGCCCTGGTAGAGACTAGTTGCAGCATGATTTTCTATTGATAATATCTGAAGACAATGATTTCTAGAATCCAGTCCACATCAGTTGAATTGAATCAGTCAACCGATGTAAGACAGAGGACAACCTGGTTTTCATTTAGTTCTAAGGTAATTTTCATGCTCTGAATGCTCAGGAGCCTCTCGGAATGATAAGTTCCTCAGTCATGTCAACCATGAAGCTGTAATCCTTTTACAAAGTTCTCCCTATTCCCAGCACTCTCTTCAAAGAATTCTTCACTTCTGAGTTTCTGAGACTGTAAATCAGGGGGTTGAGCATGGGATTGAAAAGGCTGTGAAACAGCAGGAGATATTTCTTCTGCTCCTTGGGGTTCTCATAACTGGGTCCAACATATGTGATAATGGCTGTACCATAAAAGAGTCCAACCACACAGAGGTGAGAGGAGCAGGTGGAGAAGGCTTTTCTTTGACCCTCCCCTGACTGGATTCTTAGGATGGCACAGAGTATGCACACGTATGATACTACAATTGAGGAGAATGGCCCCACCAGCACAGATACTGCCCCAGCCAAGACCATGTTCTCATTGATATGGGTATCTGCACAGGCAAGTTTGAGAACAGCCATGATTTCACAGAAAAAGTGATTGATTTTTTGGGACATACAGAAGGGCAATGGTAGGAGTAACACTAGATGAATCAGGGACAGGAGAACTCCAATGGTCCAGGAAGTGACTGCCAGGGTGATGCAGACTCTCCAGCTCATGATGGCAGAATATCGAAGGGGTTGGCAGATGGCCACATACCTATCATAGGACATCATCACCAGGAGGAGACATTCTGTAATAGCGAAAGTCAAAAAGAGAAAGGTCTGGGTCATGCAGCCCCCAAAGGAGATGGGCAGGGCTGGGTCCAGAAGGTTCAGCAGCATCTGGGGCACTGTGTTGCAGGCATAGGCGATGTCCACTATGGCCAGGTGGGAGAGGAAGAAGTACATGGGGGTGTGCAGTCTGGGGTCCAGGCAGCTGAGAGCCAGGATGGCCCCATTCCCCAGCAGAGTGAAGGCGTAGAAGAGGGAGAAGAGCCCGAAGAGGAGCACCTGCATCTTTGGGCCAAGTGGAAATCCAAGGAGGAAGAATTCTGTGACAGATGTCATATTGTTTCTCATATCCCTATGGCAGAATAAACTGAATTAAAATCATCTTTTAAGAGAAGAAATTAAATACAGATACACTTTTGTGGGGGTAGCAAAATATCCAGAGGCAGCTTTAGTGCATTTTTATGTTTTTAAGTGAATGCTTAAAGACTTTGTTTGGTAAACCCTAAAGAAAAATTTAAAAGTAAAGAATGCACACATATACACATGTTTTTATATTAATATTCTTAATGAAGGCAAGACTGAAATTTCAATAATAAGCTTATTATCCTGTCTTAGTCTAATATATGAGTTTTTTTGATTCATTTGAGTTGCTCCATATTCTTCAAATAATCTCTACTTTCCTTGCATATACTGTTCAGAATTATTCTCCGTTTGTCTTTCTTTCTTTTTTTTTTTTTCAGAAACAATGCACCCTAGCTGATAGACCTTATTAAGTTTAATCTCAGGTTGGAAAGTCTCACGAAGGGCAGAGAATGCCAAGGTTGGATACAGGTCTGGGCATTGCACCATTAGCCGTTGGCCTCTTGCCTGCGTGTCCACATGCACTTTCCACTCCTGTATCAATTGTCACCTCCACACCAAAGATCTCATAAACCTTCCCATTGTTTAAGTATAAAGATTAGTTTCAGCATCAAGTCTTATTTTTGTTATTTAGTTTTTTACAATTAACATTTAGATGGGCATTTATGTGAAGGACTGAACAGCTTTGGACCATGTCTTTTTATCTAGATGTGAAATCAGCAGATAAACAGTGTTGGCTTTTGAGTCCTATTGTTAAAAGCTCTAGAATGCAGTTTTAGGCACTGTCTCTGCAGGTCAGGATAGGCAATAGTTCATCTTCTATGAGAAATATTTCCTGAGGCAATAGCTTATTTTTTACCCCTGAGAAATGATGCAGAAAGGGTATCTAAATCTTTTGAGGTTGTCTATGATTCATTCCATAGTAAAATTGTAAATATAAACATGGTATTGCCCTTCTTTCTTCAATTTTATTCTCATCTTTTATGTAATATCAACTTGTCTGGGAGATAGCCAGAATTGGCAGTAATCCTTAATTTAATGGTCATAAAATTATAAATCTGACACTACAAAATGTCATAAAAAAATCAACCCATTTACATTTTGGACCTCTCCTGTTACCATTCCAACAGTAAGTGGCATGCTCAGGCAGGTAGAAATAAAACATTATTTGGGAATTTATTAATTTACTATTGTTGACCTTATCTTGTTCTTAGGTAGAGCTATTGATGAGTTAAACTCTGAGCTCTTATTCATTGCTCAGACTCCATGGCATTATAAGATTGTATATAATAAAAAATCACCATTTGTACACTTATTTATTTGTCTTGCTTCTCTGTTTATGACACTTTAAACTAAGCATTGTAAAAATAAAGTGCAGATCTATGTTGTTTGTTAATATTAAACTTTACCAGAAAATCATTTTTCCATATATATTTCTTCACTTTAAAAATAGCTATCAATCAGAAATAACCATTAATATATCAATTTTAATGATCTATTAATATGCTGATATATAATATATTGATAACCCTTAATATATTTTACTCAAATTATCCAAAATCAATGAGAAGAATTTAATCAGAATTATACTTTTGCATGATAGTAAAGTGTGATAGTAAAAGCAAATAGCAAACAAAAATGACATTAAATTATGTTGATTGGAACTCACAAGGATAACTAGGAACTCTGGGTGTCTAGAGATGGTTATGGTATAGGCACTCCAATAAATAGTCATGCAGAAAAGGCAAACATTTCTACAATGTGGCTGGATTTCCTGATGGTACTTGCTGTTTGCGAACAGCCCAGGAAAGATCTTGGCTTTTCAAGTTGCCTTTTGGAAGGAAAGGTTTTATGAATTTAACGTCTCTAAGGAGCACCTTCCCAACTGTCATGAGAGCTTTGTATAGCAATTGGGAAAATAGGTCTCACTTTCACCCTCATGATTCCTACAGAGACATGAAGAACCCAACCCCTGTTATACTCCCAGCCTCAGAGGATTGGGTCTCATCTATTTCTGTCTCTGAGAAAGCCATGGAGATAGCAAGATCCTTACATTTTAAGCCAAGAACAGGTAATACCGTCATAAATAAAAGAATATGCATATATAAAGTCATACTGTGGGACCACATCACTATTACAGCTACCCTAATATGTGAATGTGTGATAGTTTATGGATTTTTATGTTCTTCCAGGACCCTGACATTCAAGGGGTGCTCTGGAGATGAAAAGATCCATGCCTGGTTATTGTTTAACAGTGAAACAAAATCTTGACATGAATTCCTGCAACCACATTTCTTTTAGTGTGGTCTGGTTTCCCAACTATTCTGAAGCTGGTTGGAGAACAAACTTGAATTCCAAGATATTACTCATCAGACCATCTTAGATGGAAGCTCAGACCTTTCACCCTTGGGCACACATGGAGATGTGTGGGCAGTTGTTTTAGGGATTGGAAGCTGTAAGTATTGTTGATCTGCCTGGAGGAAGAATGGAGGAGGCACAAGGATAAAGTAAACTTTACTTTTTGACATTCTCCATCTTTGATAATATGGTCCTGCCCTCACGGGAAGGAGCAGAAGGCCAGCTCCTGTTCTTTCAATCCTTGTGGATGGGAATGAATCTGGGTTCTACTGTCACAGTGGTGTACCTTACACTCAGCACAGTGAAAGATAATGCTTACACTATTATCACAGTGTATATGTGGAGGATAGCATCCCACTTCTTCAGGGTGTTGCTCACCATCCAGTGCCTTAAAACTCACAATTTATATCAGGTCACAATTTCTGAGAAATACAGAACACGTTGGAACCTATGAATTACTTGGTCATGTGTTTATCATCTTTCACTGTCATGGTCTATTGAACCATATGTGATGTCATGCAATAAACCTATCAGTAAATCAGATGATCTGATGAGCCTCAATACAGGTAATGGTCAGAGTACTACAGACAGAAAGGGAAATCCCCTACACTGAATATATATTATTTGCAATCACGATGAATTATTGCCCTATACAGACAAGGTGCAAGGAATCTGACATAATTAGCATGCCACCAACGAACTTATTGGTCTCCTCAGACAAAGGTCCCATGTTGGTCTCTGCTACTGAAAGGTCAGAGATGCAACAGAGTAGTGAGTCAGTGCCAAGCAGCCTTAGTGAGGGGCAGCCTACATTATGGGTCTCATTGCAAAGTGTCCACCTCTGTCGCCATCGATACTGCACTTGTTGCTCATTGTGCAATCACAGGGGCAGCAAAGAGCAGAGGCTAGCTGACATCTACTGACTGAATCACCCTGTGCTTGGTTCTTTAAACCTCTGCAAGAGCATGTCTGGTTGGCAATAAAGTGAGATACAGAATGTTATGCATTGTGCTCTCCATCACGTCTCTGCCTCCTCCCTCCATTCCTGCAATGGTGCAATTTTGCTCTCTCCAGGCTCAGGACCTACCAGTCAAACCATTTGACAATTTCCAAGATTTCTTGCATATTCCCACTTCAAGAGAGTTTTCTTTCCCTAAATGATAACTACAGGGATTGAGGGTTTGCCCTCAGGACCACCCAAAGGCCCAATACCGAATACAAGGATTGTATATAAATACAAGGTCAATATATCATAAAAATAAATTTATGCCAATCATTCTTGCACCGGGCCTGATTTTTTTTAAATTAAATTGCCAGATATTTGTAGGGAGACCCCTAAAGACTATATGATCTGAGGGAGACATCAGTGAGACAGGTGACATGGGAATCTGGGTCAACCGAGTCTTCATCTTACTTCTGTCTCCTTACTTGCTGTGCCCTAAGATACACTTCATCTTTTATAGGATGATTGTGTGCTGTGACCACTCAACCCTATGACTTGGTGGGTTTGGTAGCAATTCAGCCCAAGGTACACAATTTAGGGTTCCTTGGTCTTTTCACCAGTCTCCATTGAGTCTCAGTAGTATAAGCAAGGTTGTATTGAAAGAAAGGTGTATTTGGAGAGGTGTTTGGAGAGGTCTTGATGCAGAATCACAGTGGCTTGTCCTAAGAGTCATACTCCATGTAATATCTCCATCTACCAGGATTCATGCAGCCTACTGGTCAAATAGCCCAAGTGAAAGAGCTATAGTACATTCATGTGAATGAATTTTTATATGTTAATACACCTGGGCAACCACCATCATGATGAAGGTATAGAACATTTCTACCACAACAGAAAGTTCCTTTGTGTCCCCCTCAACCCTCCACTCCCAACTTACTGACAGAAATTACTTTCTTACCCTATTACCTTTTGTTTTGATATCTATGACAGCAGATTGGCCTTGTCTGTTTTGAACCTCACATGAGTGAATTAATATAGAACATAAAATTTTGTGCCTGGGCTTCTTAAACCCAATGCCATGTTTCTGAGATTCATCCATACTGTAGCATGAATCAGTAGTTTGTTCTTTTTGTGATGTGCAATATTGAATATGGATGTTTCTCAATTTTGTTATTCTATTGTTTGTGGACTTTTGGGTTATTTTAGGTTTGGGGTTACTGTGACTAAAGCTTCATGCTTATTCTTACGTGTTTTCAGTAAGTATAATATCAAAGAATGGTATGCTGAATCATAAGAAGTGTATGTTTGCTTTTAGTTAATATTGCAAACAGCTTTCCAATGTGGTTATAAAATGTTAAACTTCTACCAGCACTTGATATTATTAATTTTATAATTTTAGCCATTGTGGTATTTCTTTGGAATTTTATGTGTTTTATTGATGACTAATTTTACTGAGTACATTATCATATGCTTATTAACTTTTGCAACATCTTTTACATAAAGTTCCTTTTCAAGTCTGTTGTCCAGTTTTTGAGTGTTCCCTCCCCCCCCCTTAGTGACTTGTAGAACTTCTGTCTAGAGTCTGAATATTGTCTTTCTGTTGGGTGTAACACTGGTGATATCTCCCAGATTGTGGCATGCTTCTTTCTTTTGATGAACAGAAATTCTTAATTTTATTTATTCTCAGCTTATTAATTGCTTCATTTATGACTAGTGCTTTTAGCATCCTGCCTAAAAACAAGCAAACAAAAGTACCTACCCGAAGAAAACTACCTACCCAAAGATCATGGAAACAACTCTCTCTGCACTGTGCTGCCTGGGGTTGGGGTAGAATGAGGCAAGTAATGTGAAATGATTCTTGCTACTCTTGTTAAAACATCTTTTCTTATTTCTTTGCTATGCCCAGTCACTGTAATATCTCCTCTGATTTTCTGATCTTCTGGGAAGATGATTTTGTGCATGGATTGTTGCTCAAATTGATGTTTCTATGGGGGAATAAACACTGGAGGGTGTTATCCCAACATTTGCTGACGTCAATCCAACCTGGAAACTCACATTATTAAGTTTTCTTATGCACGGGACCATGGAAGGTCTATTCATTTATTTAAATATTTAATTTATGTCAATAGTATTTTATAATTTTAGTCTGCAGATCTTTTATTTCTTTTGTTAAATTTATTCCCAGATATTTTATTTTCTCAATTTTGTACATTGGATTTTTGAATTTCATTTTAGGATTGTTCTTTGCTTGTATGTAAAAATTGAAGTGGGTTGGAGAGAGCTGAGCTACCAGATGTTGGAGGATTCACTTAAATCAACAAGCACAGACAAAATAGTCAAGGCTTTAATTACTTCATGTGGTCGCATAAGCAAGATGACCCAAAGAAGAATGTGCCAGCTGCCCCATTTCCATTTTCTCCCATTGGATGGTACCTTCTGCAGATCAGCATAGAGATGGGCAGTCATCTCAGCGTGGACAGAGTTGGGACTAACCTGCAAACGTGACTGGACATTTTAATGTAAAAAATTTAAGGGACCCACTTAAGCCACTGATGCGATGGACCAAATAACTCCGGCCTGGATGACACATCTCAGTCTGGGATCAATGTAGTCATTACCTGAAAGGTGCTTCTCACTTGTGTTCTAATATGGTAGGCCATCCACCCCTTCCTACAGTGGGCCCTTCTTTTAGTTAGTGACACTTTGACTTTGTGGGAGGCCATGCAAGGACCTTCCATCTCTTTCAGCCTCTTTCTGAAAATACACATAAACAGTAGGAATAGGAGGTCATGTCAAACCATTTTTTTTTAAATTAGGATTTTTAAAAGTTCATGATTTTTATGAACCCATTCCTGAACATAATGTACCTCTATGTTTAAATTACATAAAATAATTTTGTATAAAAATTCTCCCTCACCTGATACTACATGGCATGAAGTTTTTGGGGGTGATTCTGTTATCATCTCTACATTATGCAATCTCTCTCTCTCTCTCTCTCTCTCTCTCTTTCTCTCTCTCGGTGTGCTGACAGCTACACCAAGGGCCATGCTATTTTATACCATAAAATCCAAACTTGTGGTTGACAAGCTGATGTCACAGATAAACAAGAGACTGATTCCCTCAGGAAGTCCCTATGAAACCAAGAACCAAACGAATTCCTTGAATTGCACTAAAAACCCTGGGCCAGATGACCCTGCCATGGAAGGCCGCATTGGTAGCCCTGTCAACCAGATTGCTTAAGGAACGCATGCCCTGCCTTGGGTGCCAAGGCACCTGTGTCTCCTCTATGAGCCATCGTTTGCCTCAGACTAATTACCTGGTTCTCCATATGACTTCATCACCTGACCCACTCATATTTGTGATGGAGTAGCCTGTTTCTAATGAAGCCCTGAAAAATACATCTAGTGGAGGGGTCTGGCTCCTGGTCACAATCCTGTGTGATCTCTCAGTTCAACCACAGGCAATTACAAAGGGTCTCTCTGGCAGGCCTCACCATGGGAAAGCTGCCCTTCCCTCACCAAGGTCGGTGTTCAATCTCTCTATCTGGGGAGAGGCCTCATGTACCTCTGCCTAGATCTTCTTATGGGAAGAGAAGGACACGTTGAAGACCTGTCTTCTCCCCTCTGACTCAATATCCAGCCTTCCCACGGCGAGGGCTTCCTTCTCTCCCTCTCTTCTTCCCTTTGTGGACCACCAGTTTGGGCTTTTTGTCTCATCTCCTTCAGCAAGGAGATGAATCTGTAAAGTCTGCACTGGTCAAGGTGACCTTTGCTCTGGGCACCTCCGGAAATAAATGGAATGGTGTGGACCTTAGTCTGGTTTAATCTCTTGCTTGTATGTCACAGTTAATGATTGCAGACTGGGCTTTGCTTTCATTTTGGCCTGTTGCTTTATTTCATGACTCGCACACTTGGAAAGTCAGCTGCCTCTAGCTCAACTCCGTTCTCTGCAGAAATATCACTAATTTTTGTGTACAGAACTTTTAGCCCCCAACCTTGCTAAATTAGATAGTTTAAACTGACGTTATTAGACACTATCTTTTCCTTTATACAGTGTGATTTTGCCTGAAAGTGAAGTTTTTCTTATTCATTTCTAAACTGGTTACCTTTTATTATTTTCCTAGCTTCATTTCCTTGACTTGAGCTTCCAGTACAATGCTGAAGGGAAGCAGCAAGACAGGACATTCTTTATCTTGTTCTTTTATCTTCTGGGGGAAGCATTCAGTCTTTCCCAATAAATTATGATTTGAGCTGTAGTTTTCTCATCTGTCCTTTATCTGATTAAAGACATGACCTTAGGTTTCTAGTTTGTGAGTGTGTATGTGTGTGTGTGTGTGTGTGTGTGTATGTTGTTGTGTGTATTTATCATGAAAAGGTGTTAGAATTGTCAAATGTTTTGATTACGGGTGATGAGAGATCATGTTTTTTCTTTTACCTAATTAACATGATATATTACATTGGTTACGTTTTGAATGTTTAAATAACCCTGCCTTCCTGCAATACGTCTCACTTGGTCATGGTCTTTGAATCTTTTCATGTTTGTTGGATTTGGTTTCTGGTGTTTGTTGAGGAGTGTCAAATTTATGTGCACAAGGATATCAGTCTGTGGTTTTCTTTTTCAACAATGTCTTTGCTATTAGTGGTCTGGACATCATAGAATACATTGGGAAATGTTCTGTTTTCTAAGATTTTTGTGAAGAAATTGTATTAATCCTTTTTGTTAAAATTTAGTATAATTAATTGCTATTGCAACATGGTTCATGGCTTTATTTGGTAAGTTTTAAAATTACTAACGTAACTTCTTCACTTCTTATAAATCTATTCAGATTGCCTGTAATTTTTGGAGTGATTTGATAGATTGTGTCTTTCTAGGAATTTGTCCTTTGATCTAAGTTTTTAATTGTTGGCATACTGTGACAATTCATTTTGTATTTATAAGTCTGCCAACAATGTTCCTTTTCAACTCTGATTTTAGTCATTTTTTAGCCTTTTTTATTGTTTTCTGCTGGGCAGTCTAGCAAAAGTTTGTCAATTTTGTTGCTTTTTTCAAGAAACCAAGTTTACTTTCATTTTTGTTTTATAATTTTCAATTTCATTTATATTCATTCTAATAATATTTTATTTCTTCTGCTTGCTTTTGGTTTAATCTGGCTTTCTTTCAAAATGACTAATTTATAATAAAATGCCAAGAAATTGAGCAAATATCAGGGAAAAATAGTATTTTACTCTCCAAACAGGAGTGACTGTCAACATTGGAATTTAATCCAGAAACCAAGTTCATATGCTTAGAGAGTTTTCAGTGGGGAAGGGTAGGGAGGATAGAGGATAGACAAATTATAATAATATTTTCACTATAATTTTATCCTATTTCCAGACCTTCTAGAAAATCAAACTAAATCCTAAGCAAGTAGAAGAAATAAAATCATTTAGATTACAGTGGATTCACGCGAAAGTGAAAAGAGAAGCAAAATTTCAAATTCTGTTTGAACAATTAGCATTTTTCTGTCAATCTTCTATTGGGAAAATTTCCCGAGATTTTGCTTCAGCAAATGACAAGTGTAAGAGGAAAGCCCTTCACATTCGTCATTCTGTCCTCACATGGACCTCTTCTGCAAGGCTCTGCGGAGGGCATCCTTCACCTGGGAGTTCCTCAGGCTGTAGATAAGGGGATTCAGCACTGGGTTAAAGAGACTGTGAAAGAGCGACAGCCTTTTCTCCTGCTCCTCTCGCTGACTGGAGTCTGGGACCATGTAAACCACCATCGCTATGCCGAAGAAGAGCCCCACCACACAGAGGTGGGAGGAGCAGGTGGAGAAGGCCTTTCTACGGCCCTCCCCTGACTGGATCCTCAGGATGGCCAGCAGGATGCGCGTGTAGGACACCAGCATTAAGCACAGAGGCCCCACTAAGACAAAAACACTGGCAGCAAGGATGACCACTTGGTTGATCCAGGGGTCAGCACAGGCCAGCTTGAGGACAGAGAGGATCTTCACTTCCCGAGGCCCACAGAAGGGCAGCCTCAGGAGGAGCAGGGCATGTACCAGGGAGAGGATAAATCCACAGGACCAGGAAGTGACAGCCAGGGCCGTGCACACTCTCCAGCTCATGATGACAGCATAATGTAAGGGATGACAGATGGCCACATACCGATCATAGGACATTGCCACCAATATCAAGCACTTAGTAGCAGCAAAAGCCAAGTAAAGGAATGTCTGCATTATGCATGGAACAAAGGAAATAGTTCTTCTTTGGTTCATGAGGTTTGCCAGCATCTTGGGGACATTGTTAGAAGCATAAGACATGTCAAGGACAGCCAGGTGTGAGAGGAAGAAGTACATGGGGGTGTGCAGTCTCGGGTCCAGGCAAATGAGTCCCAAGATCATGCCATTGGCCAGCAGGCTGAAGATGTACAACAGGGAGAAGACCCAGAAGAGGAACACCTCCATCTCTGCTCTGAGCTGGAATCCCACCAAGATGAATTCTGTGACCCATGACTGGTTGCTTCCCATTCCTTAATGACCACCTGGGAGTGAAGGGAGCCAAGAAGACCAGAGCTGGAGAATCAATGAAAATTAGATCCATCCACCCCAAAATGAGGTCAGGAAAGTGTACACTTGTTCCTCTTTGACAACTTCTCCACTTCCCAACAGTTGCTATCTTTCTGTTTTGAACACTTAATTATGAAATAATTTTGAACATGTAGAAAAGTAGCAAGAATTATGCAAATAACTCTACATGCCTTCACCTAGAATCAGCCAGTATATTTGTGTTGTTTACTTATTTACCTTATACTTTTTCTCTGTATACTGAATTTTTGAATCATTTGAAATTAAAGTGTGGATGTGATACCCGTAAATTTCTCATCATTTTTTTTAACCAAGAAAAAGAATATTCATTAAACTGACATACTACAATTGTAAAAGTTAGGAAAATTATCATTGATGTGTTTCTTATCTCTCACTTTCAGTATTTTCCTTCCACACTCATCTATCCAGGCCCAAACCCAGGACTGCTCATTACATTTAATATCACCCCTCCTCGGTCTTCTGGCATCTGCAATATTTACTCAGCCTTTCCAGACACTGAAATTTTGAAGAGGGTGCAGCAGTTTTTAGTAGAAATGTTCCTTATATTGGGAGTGTACAATGCTTTGATTCAGATTATTCACTTTCTACAACCAAATAAAGAGGAGGCTCAGTGCATTATGAGCAGGTGCATGATGTTAATTTTTCCCATTTTTGGACAAATCCAGCTTAGACCACTTGGTGAAGATGATGCTTCCCAGATATCTCCATTGAATAGTTATTATTTTTCTCTAATTAATTCTAGGATATCGATTAAAATCATTATATAAATATCTTGTTCCTCGTGAAGGAACTAGCCATCAGTTCCTCTCAGTCTCTAGTTTTAGCATTTATTGATTGTCATGCTTGACTCGATTATTACTAATGATGACTGAAAATGTTTGGTCCTAACTCTATCATTGTTTTTATATTTATTAGTTAACAATATTGTATATGAAATAACCTATCCATGCCTATCTACCTACGTACCTTTCTTCTATTTATTTATAGATTTTTAAAATTAGTGCATGAAAGATATACATAAAGGTTGAGATTCCTTGGGGTATATTCATATATGTACATAGGAAAGTTTTATCAGATTCATTCCATCATTCTTCCCTTTTGCTCTCCCGCCTCCCACACCTTAATCCCCTTCCTCTACTCCACTGATCTCTATTTGCATGGGATTCTGACCATGCCCTTCTTTTCCTTATTTTTGTCTAGCTTTTGCATATTAGAGAAAACATTTGACCCTTGAGTTTTGGGGTTTGGTTTATTTCATTAGCTGACGTTCTAGGGTTCCATCCATTTATCTGCACATGCCATAATTTCTTTCTTCTTTCTGGTTGAGTAAAACTCCATTGCGTATATATACACCACATTTTCTTTATTCACTGGTCTACTGATGGGCAACTAAGCTGGTAATTTAGCTTGGTTATTGTGAATTGTGCTGCTATAAACATTGATGTGGCTGCATCCCTATCATATGCTGATTTCAGTTTTTTGGATGTATACTAAGGAGTGGGATAGCTGGGTCATATGGTGGTTCCATTCATAGTTTTGAGGACTCTCTATACTGCTTTCTAGAGTGGTTGTACTAATTTGCAGTCCCTCCAACAATGTATAATTTTGCTGTTCCCCTCCACATCTTCCCCAACATTTATTATTAATTGTATTCTTGATAATTGCCCTTCTGGCTGGAGTGAGGTGAAATCTCAATGTAGTTTTGTTTTGCATTTTTCTGATTGCTAGGGATGTTGAACGTTTTAATATATTTATTGGCCATTTGCATTTCTACTTTTGAGAAGTTATTTCTTTAGTACTTTTGCCCTGTGGGGATTTTGAGCTTATTTTTTTATGTATTCTGGATATTAACCTCCATCTGAGGAACAGGTGGTAAAGATCTTCATGCTCTTAATTATTTCCTTTACTGTGTGGATATTTTTTAATTTGATATTGTCCTACTTATTGATTCTTAGTTTTATTTCTTGCACTTTAGGAGTCTTATTAAAGAAGTCCATACTTGTGCCAGTATGTTGGAGTGTTGGACCTACATTTTCTTCTAGCCTTTGCATATTTTCTGGTTCAATTCCTAGGTCTTTCATCAACTTTGAGTTGACTTTTGTGTGAAAGACAGGGATCTAATTGCATTCTTCTACATCCCAAGAAAGATATGGATATTCAATTTTCTCTGCACGATTTGTTAGAAAGGCTCTTTCTTCCAATGCACATTTTAGACAACTTTGTCAAGCATCAGATGACTGTATCTTTATGGGTTTGTCTCTGTGTCTTCTATTCCATTGTTATTCACGTGTCTTGATGCCATTATTATGACACACCTATTTTGTCTATATTGTGAATTTTAAAACTAGATGAAAAGTGTCGTTTATAACTATTTTTTCTCTTCTATAAATATATTATGAACTATTTTGTACATCAAAATATTTATCTGTAGCATACTTTGAATGACTGCTCATTATTTCTTCAGACCCAAATTTATTTTATATATTTTCTGATCCTTAGACTTTGTACAGTATTCTTCATTAATTAAATTACATATATAAATATGGAGATA